CAGCCAGCTATTTTTATCTTTGTCATGTTCTTTTCACAAACGGCAGCGCTTGCACCTTTACCTAGTTCATTGTTATCTACATGTTTTGACAATTTTGAGGAAAAAAATTGGACAAATTATTCAAAATACAGCCCAACTATTTTGTATACGCTGTATATTGACTGCAAGAAACAAGATGCAATTTATTATTAAAACTTTCACTGACAATATGAAGGACTCTAATAATATCTCAATTGTATGGGTATTCTTTGAAAATCTTTTGGATTCAGTAGAGGATAGTGACATGCAATTGGCTTAAGATAGAAAAAAATGGAACTTAGATGCAAACCAGAATTTAAACAAAAACTATTCACATTTATGTTACATCTATCTTCAAATGTTGATTAACAAATCGTTGTTGTTTGTAAATCACATTATGTAAACTAGTTGATAAAATTCTACATATACTCCTTTGACATTTATCAAAGAGGAAATCTTGGCGAATCATGGATGCGTTCTTTGTCCATATGTAATTTTGACCAAAGATAAAGCAGTCGATCTTCCTTCACTGTACTGCATGCCCAAATTACATAATTGTCCTTACACATCAATAGAGTGTCTTCGGTTGATGCGATATTTCAGAGCTTCCGTTTCCGATCATGATTACCCTGATAGATGGTTGCTGCTCACAATGAAGTATTTAAACCAAGGGCTCCTAGTGGTATAGTTTAAGTCATTCAGTCATCGGAAAGTTTTAAGGACGCTATCATGATTTAGCTGACCCTGGTGGAATATCTGTGTCAAAGACGACCACGAATATCTTCCTACTGTCGTAGCTACAACACCGTCTTCTTTTTCTTCTATTGTGATATCATAAAATAAGGCTGATTATACAAAAATGAACTTGCAATGAGCAAAACGATGGATTCCACTCGAGGAACATGATCTGTTTACCATTCCCGAGCACTAATATTTTAGTTGGTTTTTTGTTTTAACTAATCTTTAATTTTCAGTGTAGTGACTTGTAACCTAATGTGAGTCTTTTCCTCTATTTTAGTGCTTGAGCATGGTGAAGTTAATTTATTTTTTGACTGTCACTTTAGCATCTTCTGCCTCTTGTTTGCATTTACAAATTGTAAGTAAATCATTTTAATTCTCTGCATGTTTTTAAAGCTCTTGGGTTTCATCAAACTATTATTAACCTCCGTTGAATAAATAGAAAGCATATTGAAAAGTGGCCAGCCTCTGTTATCTTGAAAGAACGATTGGTGCTTTTAAAAATTAATATTTACATAATTTCATATACAAGCAAAACAAAAGCAAACGTCAAACTAACATTTCTATCGAATGCTTGAAAATTTGTATCTATATTTTGATTTTTTTTCAATCCATGTTATCAAACTTTCTCTCTCGTCAGCATTTGATTATACGTTTAAACCTATTCATGTATTTTTAGGAAAGATAGCTTACCATGTATCAACAAATAAGAGCAAATGTTCGCCAACATACATTTTCTGAATGTAGCAACGATGGAAAATACAGTGATGATGATTCTACATCTGAAGATAAACAGTCATTGCTGCATTTCCTGAAGAAAAATAGTACTAAATATGCAGATGAGATAGTCGGCACTTTTAACAATAGAGAAAGCAATGCTAATCAATTTCGTCCAGGAGAAATAAACTTCAATACTCTTATTGATGAATGTTTTAGCTGCATCGAAGATGTTATTGGGCATACTGAAACTCAATCTGAATCATCTCTAAATGTTTCTGATGTAGGAACTGTTTTTCAGTCGGAAGAAATATATGTTGACATTGCTACGGAAGACAGAAATAACAATAACCATAACGCTTTCGCAACAAAAGTAGACGGTTTTAACTGTGAAAACGTGTCAAGATTAACCGATGGAAATTTGCTGGTTAAGGGCAGTCATGTTAAATTTGGCAGGTATGCCTACAGCACGAAGACGAACAATTTCTTAAAGAGCCGTTTAAAAGGCAAATTTGGCTTTCCGTCCTTTCATCATGCAATTGTAACCGAAATTTTTTCCAGTGAATCACATAGGATTAGCATCTGTGTAGTTAACTTTACAACTAAGACAGATGATGGCACAGTGAAAATTGAAGTAATTGAAGAATGTATGGACATTATTCTTGACGATGAATATTTGTTCTTTATTGAGTACAAATATTTACCGAGATAATAGCACGTGCGAGAAGTTTAAGAAGAAGCAGATCGTATAACCTGTTTACCAATAATTGTGAGCATGTCGCTATATGGTGTGTCACAAAAATAAAAGCAAGTTTTCAGTCTGATAACTCAATTAATCTTATCCAAAGCTGGTTTACCTTCTGATACCGTAGTTGTAAGAGCGATGAAAAAGATTGGAGAGCAGAAATTTAATATGTTTAATCGCAGATCAAGTCATTTGGCATGGGATTGTAAGGTAATAGTATAGTATTACTAATCAAATTTCAAATGAATTGTAAAATAACTTAAGGTAGAAGATAAACATTACAAGTGTATGTTGAACAGGAATATAAATGCAGAGGACAATTTACAAGCAATCTAAATCAAAGGCAATGAGAAGACTTAGAAAACGAGACATGTATTTGGGAACACAACATAACAAACAAAACAATGACTATTTGAAAACAAACTTTGAAAAATACAAAATCCTATAAAAATTTGAATTAGGTGCCCCGAAATAATTACAACACCATATTAAGCATTGAACAAATTTTGTATTGCCATATGGTGAAAGGCCTTTAAGAAGTCAAATCTGTTAATAATCAAAACCAACTTAATGTCGTAAATTATAGAAACATGTCATCGGTCGAGTGCAACACACTGACAAGGATATTTAGCAAACAAACTCGTGATATCGACTGCAAAACGTGAATTTTAGTAATTAAGCCTGAATATGCTCAAGCAATTGAAAGCGCACCAACTATGATATTCTAACAATAAACACAAGTGATGTAGGTATTTTCCCTCTCAATAAGGAAAAATTCCCCTCTTGCAAATGATAATTATTTCATTCGTTATGAGTTTTATATCCAAACGTCCTTTGATGTATTTTGATTTGCGCGATATAGATGTTTGAAACCTTTATACAATGTGTATTGTATGTTATTCGTAAACTTAGGTATGATATAGAACTTAACGTGTCAGTAGTGGCCTTCATTTTTATTACATGGAAAATTATGATATTTACATTAATTTTGAACTTACATTATTGAAAGACATATACGTCAAAATTGAAAATAAAAAACAAATACAAAGGGGGAAAATACCAAAGAGGCAATAAAAGACAATAAGTCATAGAAAAATGACCAACAACATCACCAAACACAAATGACAAAAATACAAACAATCGTCAATAAGAAAATACACAGAAAAACTAAGGATTGAGCAACAAAAAACACCAAACCCGGAGTAAAGTACTATAAGTGCTAGTAGTATGTTAAAAGAGATGTTCTCCAAACGTAACACAAATGCTATCAATAAAATATCAGGCATATTGATTTGTCCTTAAGGAATAACACCAATAATTCATAGCCCCATGCTTTCTATGTTAAATTCTGCAATTTCAAGCATTCATAGCTATTTCGTCATAAGTTCAAATAAGGTGACAATCATTTCATGTCAAAACTATACCTTATCCTGTTGTGTGCTGAAAAATCAACATACCTTTAATTGCATATTAGAGCACACTGGTTTCCGGAAGTTGGATATTACAAAAACATGTACTTCTGATCTGAGTAACAGGGCAAATATGCCCTCCTATCTTAATTTCATTTTTTTATTATTCAAATGAAACTTTTAACAAGGGTTCTACAGTGATCCCAAATCCTTAAGATTTCATTTGATATCAAAATTACCTAAATATGTTACTTATTGACAAAGTTACAGATATGCGTAGGAACTATTTTCTTTAAACTATGTACTACTTTCTTGTATGTTCTTCCTGACCGGGCAACTGCTATACCTGAAACAATATATTTATTTCTATGTTTGCATTTCTTTTTTTTTACTTTTCTTAGTCAAAAATGATGAATTATTTTGTAAAAGGTAGTTTAGTCAAATGTTTTTGTATACTATTGCACAGAAAGAGGGCCTTAAATTGTATAGAACTTTGCTTTTTTTAGTATCCACATTTGATCACACCAGACCTTGAGTTGGTAGTACCACAGCTAGCTCTGAAGCGCAGTTTTGATTGTTAATTAAGTAGATGTTAAATATTTGAAAAGAGGTTTTGTAGAGCATTTGGCAGACCCAGTGATTTTAGTATCCACATCTGATACAAATTACGACTAGAGTAGGCGGTGTCATAGTAATTCTCGAACTCGATTTTGATTCTTGATTCTTGATCAATTAAGGCAACAGTTGTTTACCGTTGTTAAGATATCCTTAATCGACAAAGAAGACAAATCAAGGCAACAAACAAAAACTAGGGAAATCGCAAATAAAGAGCGAAACTGAGTACATATATGATAAAATAAAGTTCATAACTAAGAATATTTAATGAAGCATTTTGGCAGGCCCAGTAATATAACGTTGTTTGAAAAGATACTTATGCTATTCGGGTATTCACTACAATTAAAGAAGGTCCCGTTCTCCATCTTTGGTTGAGGAACATAAAACAATCATATGAGTGTTCATGATTCCCTCTTTAACTAGTCTTGAAGAGGTTATGTTAGGATTCTAAGTGAAATGTAAAACTAAATCCCCATATATAGCAGTTTATATAATGTGATTTACAAACAAACCAATAATGTCCAGGCTTTGTATATGGGGAAACAACATTTTTGTCATGGAGATACATGTTTAGCGTTGGATCTAAGAATGGGTGAAACTTGAGTGCTCATAGATCTATTAAGCTTTCTTATTCTGATTGTAACAACCTCGCAGTGTTAGACTTGTATGAGATAATGTGTTTGTTATCCTAACTATTCACTGTTTTAAATATCAAAAAGATTTCTATGTGATATTTGACAGCAGACTTTATTTTTTAGGTTTTACCGAACGTCAATGCCTCCCAAACTAGGCGCCTCGTGAAGACGGTGAAAGAAGTTCACAGAGGAGATATTATAGAATTTAGATATTGTTCTCTTCCACACGTCGAAATAGCTGTAGAACCAAAAGCCTATATTCCAGCTGATATTATTGAACTATCATATATACACGTTGCTGTAAGTGGAGAGATCAAGAGGACGATAGAAAGATTTGATCTTGAAAAAAGTTGCATCTTCGTTCAAATATATAAACAGAGTGAAATAGAAGACAACAACAAGGTTGTCAAAAATGCTCTGCGGGTAATTGGACGACGGCTTGCCACGAAATGCAATAGACTTTTTTACAAATCTTCTCATTTTGTTTTAGCTTGCAAGTTAAAATCTAAGGATGAAGACACTGCTGATTTAAAAGTATTATAGCTGATTAATAAATTTAAAGTTTAAGTTCGAATTTCATGCATTACAAGGGTTAACAGCATTTAGGAAAAGTTGTACAGAGAAAATTGGTGTATCATACGTGTCAGCCTTCACCTCTTATATTTACATGGTTGACATTGCATATCCACATCTTAGATGATTTGTTTTAAATTACGCTCGGGAGATGTTGAACAAACGAGATCTGTATTTATCAACATGCCATACCTTCTGAAAAGACATGTTTCCAGTACCTAGGATCACCCACAGCTTTTGGTGGGATACGTGTTTCTCAGTTTTTATTGTACTTTGAAGTGTTTTGTGAACTTGTTTGTCTTTTCGTCGTCTTTTGTATTTTATTCTGTCAAAAAACCATTAGTCATAAAACATTAATATCAGATGGCGACTGTCAGTGGTGAAAACACTCATTGTAACCGTGGTTCAATTTTGCTGGTAAATTTACAAATCTGCATGTTTCTATAGTGTAAACTCTCTTAAATGAGACACCGAAAAAGACGAAAAGTATGAATGTTTATTAATAGATTTATACAAAAAATACACATGTCAACTGAATCATGGTGGCGTCCTTTCAAAGGGAAGAATTCAACTTGACCACTAGGAACCCTTGGTTGATTAACTTCCTTTAAAACAATAACACTCTATAAGGGAAATAGTGATAGGAATTGCATGCTCTTCAGTATCGTATCAACAGGGAGATGTACGCTCCATAATACAGGCGTTGCTGGAATGTTGTTGCATAGAAGTGTAATGTTCACAAGGAAAGCGGGAATCAACTCTTTTGTCGTAAAATTTAGTTCTAATCGACCAGCATTGTCAATTTCTGGATGTGAGTAAAGATAAGAGACATACTATATCTTTGGTATCCTTTATTTTGGGTTTGATAAAATAGGGGCGAACTTTAAAGTCAGCTCTTTATAATTGCTAATCACTTGTCTTCTTTGTTGCAAAGCCCTAGTTTAACTTTAATATGCTATTTGATGGAAATCTTCAAACAAATGTGCATATCGCACTAAAATTTTACAAAAAAGATTACCACCATAATTCTATCACTTCATATCAAATTTTACTACTAGTATTCCATCTTTATGACATCCTTTCTTTAATATACCTGACTTGTTATTTTACTATTAACCATCGTGTAATCTACACAAGACTCGTCATTAGCGCTCGAATTCAAACACGTGAAAGGTCAAATCAATTATGAAGTTGAAAGCATTAAAAGAGACATATACTAGTTAGCTATTGATTTTCTGTGCAGATGTCATTGCATGGGTCTTAACTATGCTGGCACATTTTGATGTTATTTAATGTTTGTTTAGGTATAAAAAATATTTAGTTCAAAGTTGTCATTATTCGTTAAGCGGTTTGTGTTCGTACCGGCCAACAAATCAGCCAACAATGGGATGGCGGTATGACGTAAATACTACACAGAATTATAATTTGTTTCTACATACAGGTCAGTTCGCGCCACAGAGTCGAACAGTAAACAATAATAATATTACCACATCTCAGCTTAAGGTATCCTCTGAACATTTAAAAGTTCCTATATAATATTATGTAATAGTTACCTAAGCTACAAAAAAAACGTTAAATATCGTTTCATCTCGGCTTCTATTAAGTGTTGTACAACTAATCTTTCAGTGCTTTTAACTAGTTACTATCAAAGAGATTATCATTAATGTTTGTAATAAAGCATATGAAAATAATGGAATTAATTTTTTTGAAGTGTAAAAACATTCTTTGAATGTTTTACATAAATTACGTGCTTTCAAATGGTACTTTTAATTCGTTTGACAGTTTTGGTTTTACACTTCACTTCCATACAATCTTATCGAACAAAAGGTTTTTTTCTATTTGATTAAATAGTCGTTTGAAAAACTGATTGCTAATTTATTTGCAGCAACTCATCTATGTACGTTTCGGCAATAAAGTTTATGGACATATTATAAGTATTCATATGGGCACCAATTGCGTCTTTTTAACATCAGACTTGTTCATTTATACAGAAAGTTATGAAAAAGGTGACGATTTTTCGTTCCCTATTGTTAATTTTCCTTTTTTGGTGGTGTTTATATATCCCAACTCGTTGGCTTTGCCAGTATCTGTAGTGAAGTGACGTTTTAGATTCCAATGAACGTAATCTATGTATCACTGGTAAATTATTAAGTGAGGGATTTCGTTACCACAAATTTCTTAAAACCTTTAACAAATTCTTTGATAAATACACGGATTTAATAGAAAAACAAAGGATATGGGTATCCATCCATGACACAAAATCAATATATGCACAGCAAAAAACACACGAAGACCTAAGGAACAGCGCTTTTATTGATGTTCTTCATTTCAAAGTCACAGTGAGGCCTTCGACACGGAGCAAAACAAGTTCTCACCTCACTGCAAGTTTGAGAGGCCCCTAGTACCGAGTTAAGCGGAATTCTGTGCAAAATGATTCAGATAGACTTTGTCACATGAAACACCACCAAATCGGGCACGGTAAAAAAAGAACGTACGTACTGGAAAGTAGTACACATTTAAAACAAAATAGTTCCTACGCATAGGTGTAAATATAAAATATAAAACTAGTATGTAGTATGTAGAATATATCTTAGTAATTAAGGTATCAAATGAAAGGTAAAGGACTGATGATTCTTGTAGAACACATATTGACTGATAATTTTGAATAATACAAAAATGTATAATGTTTGGAAGTTTGGCTGTACCTGTAGATAACTTATTACGATTAAGATATCACATCCTAATTTTTACGGTGGTGTTGTTTATAAAGAATGTGAAGTTAGATACGACCCGGGTAAACTTATCGTTCCTTTAAATAAAAGTATCATAAAAGGATATCCATTTAACACTGTAATAAGATATTTGAATATTGATTTTATCGGTACAAACATTGCTTATGTTATCAATAAATTAAAACATACATTCTGTCAATACCTAAATTTTGCCATTGCTATCATGGCATTCGTGCTTCTCACTGACTGTCTATGGGCGGTTTTACACTTAATCCGTTGAATATGTATTGATTGATATTTTAGTCTAAAATACCTGATTTGTTTTATTAGTTGTTATCAGCTTTAAACTAAGTTTCAGTTGCAGCGAGTACTAGCAGATCTGTACTTTATGTCTTACGTCCTTTTTTCATTTGGTTTTGTGTGTTTTTGTTTTGTTTTGATTAGTCAATCCTTCTTCAGCTTGTTTTTAAAGTCTGTTCTTATGTTGTGAAGTTACACCACTGTCTCAGGTTAGGGGTGACCATGTCAAACATGTTTAACCACTCCACATTCTGTATGTGCCTCTCCCAAGTAGGGAGCCTGTAATTCAGTGGTTTTCGTTGGTTGAAGTATGTCATATTTGTTTTTCGTTTAATATTTTGTACATAAATATACAAGGCCGTTAGTTTTCTCGTTTGAATTGTTTTACATTTGTCATGTTGTGGTATTGTATAGTTTGCCATGCGTTTTTTTTTTTTTGCTCATTGTTGAAGGCCGTACGATGACCTATACTTGCTAACTTTCAAGTCATATGGTCTCTGGTGAAAAGTTGACTCATTGGCAATCATACAACAACTTCTTTTTTCATATTAGGTGACTAGATAGACCTGATCGTAATTTCTACTAAATTGTCATTCCTTTGTCATCATAACGAAACAATAAATATGGATCCTTTCAATCGCATTTGTGTTATTCTATATAACTTGACATTACGAACATTTGTAAATACTTTTAATGCTAGTACTAAGCAGAAGTAATCTGTGAGAATATCAATGAACTCGTACTATAAATAATTGGGGAAGCTCAAGTCAATAAGATATTTAAGAAAAGTTATGAATAGTACGCGAGTTGTAAGAAATAATGTTCGTCTTAAGATATTTAATTAAGGAATTTTAGTAACATAAAGGGAACGTGCAGTTAGGTTTGTCTTTTGTCCGTCCGTAAATGTTTTATTGTTAATTGGAATTCAGTAGTATCCAGAATCATCCCAGTACAAATTAAAATTCAGATTTAAACTAATTTAAATCTATAACAAATTAGAACTCGTTTCTACAAGTAGAAATTGGGATATCCAGGTTTGTACCAATGGGATCCTGGGTTGTACTACATGAATGTATGTACATTTTTTATAGTTGAAATTCTTTGTAAAACAGAGAGAACACAAGGATGTATCGTAAAATATATGAAAGAAATTGTCACATTAAGAAAAATTGAAATTTGCAACTTAGTGCGACAGAGTTAAATTTGTTTCATTAGTTGAGGAAAACAGTGCAATTTTGAAGTGTTTGCGTATAAGCAAAGAGGTTGAAATAGACGTAACCTTGAAATAAAATTATCAAAAATTAATGTCAATCTAAGGATTGTTTACTATGAAAAGCATAAGATGACGAAGATATCAAGAGAGCAATCGAAGGCATTTAGCCAAAGTGAACAAGGATCTTGGCCGAAATAAAACGACAGAAAAAGACATTCCTCAAAACACTGTATACAGAAAATTAAGTCCTAAAGACACTGAGCAACACATTCAAACTCCACAAAAAAACAGACTGAACTCAATCGACAGGTGCTCCCGAATCGTAAGCACCATTTCAAAATTATAATTCAGAAGATGATATGGAAATTTACGAAGTTTGTTTCCCTAGACTCAATTATAATGAATTCCTCAACGCTCTCAAAAATTTCACATATTCACACATGTGAAAAATTGTAACTTGGAATTATATTGTATCTGTTGTTACTTTTCATCTGGAACAGTAAGATAAAATGCATTACTTGTCTCTGTTCGAGTATTATTTGCTCAACACAATGTCATAAATATAATATTGTAATATATATGTAAAAAAAATAGAAGGTACTGAAGAAAGTTTATTTCAGACTTAAAAACGTATCTTAAATTTCCTGATTTTGTTTTGTAATAAAGTTATTGGTCGTTGCATTTTATTTTCTTTAATTTCGATTACATTCTTGTCCAGTATATTC